GGAGAGGGGAGGGGGAGGGGGAGAGGTGCAATGATTAAGTGCTCCGCTGCTAAAGAAAATGTTGTCAGTTCAAAATCACCCAGAGGCGCCTTGGAAGACAGGCTTAGTGATCTGCTTCCAAAAGGTCACAGCCTTGAAAACCCTATGGAGCAGTTCTGCTCTGCACACATGGGGACGCCCTGAGTTGGAACTGACTCATGGCAGCTAACAACGATAATATATATGTGTAACAAAAATTTGCTATCTCCACATTTTTTACATGTACAACGGAGTGACATTAATTGTGTTCATCATGTTGTACAACCATCACCACAGTCCATTTCCAAACTTTTCCATTGCCCTTAACAGAAAGAAGCTCAGTGCCCCCCAAGCAATGACATCCTCTGTGCACCCCTCGCCTCCACTGTGGTAACCACCAATAGCTGTTGGTTGCTGCTCTTTCTTGATTGATCAACTTAAGACATTACCTACTGACTTCGTGTCCTGGGTGACAAGGGCTCAGCTCTCTTACCCCACTCTCTTGGTGTTGTAATGCTGACTCTAGACCCTGTTTTACAAAATGCCCGTACCTGCTTCTCTTGCTCCTGGACATCTTGAAAGAGTTTCCACTGCTGTTTCCGGAAGCGGTCTGACTTCCCCAGCTGTCGGGCGGCATTCTCCTGGACCTCTTGTCTCAAATATTCACACTCTGCCTGGGAGAGGCCGGTCACATCCGAGAGTGTCTGGAGGAACAGGACGTCCACAAGCTTCTGGAAAGTTCCGACAGTGCTGTGGTACAGCTCCTGAGGCGGAGAACCACACGGTGGGTTACAGTCATGCTCTCACACTGTGCAGGGTCATGCACTTTCCTCGGCCCCTCTACCACACGCTGCCTGCAAGGCACAGCCCTGACCAAAAGGCTTTCCAGAGGAACCCATACATCTTGGGAAATGCCCCCTACCTGAAGCAAGTTCCAAGTCTTCCCTCCTGACCTGCCATGCCATTAACCTCTGATGTCTCCTCTCAAAGACCCTCCGGGTCTTCCTTCAGTCACCATCTAGATGATTTTCACAACCTCTCATGGATCTCTCTGCCTCCCCCGCATCCACACACTCAGGCTAGTTATGTGGGTGAACCACAGATCTTATTATGAGTCCACCCAGGCTCAAACACTTTTGCAGACCTATTACCATCTGTTATGGATTGAATTGCGTACTCCCAAAATATGTGTTGGAATCTGTACCTGTAAATATGACCCTGTTTGGAAATAGGGTTTTTCTTTTGTTATGTTAATGAGGCCTTACCTGTGTAGGGTGGATCCTAAACCTAATCACTTCTGAGCTATAAACAGAGCAGAATAGATGCAGACTCACACAATGGGAAGACAGACGCCATGTGAGGACTATCTACAAGCCAAGGAACTCCCAGGAACCCAGGAATGCCAGGGGCTGCCGAAAAGGAAGGAATAGACATGGCCAAGATCCCAATTTGGACTTCTAGCCTCCAGAAGTATGAGAAAATAAATTCCTGTTCTTTAAAGCCACCCACTTGTGGGACTGGTGTTACAGCTCCCTCAGGAGTCTAAGATACCATCACAATCAAAATTACCTAGCAGAGCTTTGTGGTGTTTCAGAACGGGGCCCCTGTTGTCCTGCCTCACCTCTCACCTTTCTGGTATCTTCATCCGGTCTCCTCCTGCCCCAAGGTGATGGATAGTCTCTTTACAAAGATTATTTCTTTAAGTTGTAGGGAAAAAACTCTCACAGATAATATAATAAAAAGCTGTGACTCCACTACTCAGATTTCGTTTGTCTAAACTAAAAATACTAAATCTTCTAAGTAAAGTTGGAGTCCTTCATGTTCCCCAGAAATTCCATTCTTCCCCCTCCTATCCTCCCCGTAGGCAGCCACCCCATGAATTCACTGCCTGTCTCTATAGCTTGCATTCATTCCTATGCTTTCACATGGCATTCTGGCTTGGCCACAAGCTTCTCAGAGCATAGCATTTCTTCTGGGTTTGAATTAAATTCAACTTTACACTCATTAAGCACACTGATTATTACCTACGTACGCTATACTAGATGCTGAAGATACGTTCTTCCATTTTTCATTTAAAAAAATCCTATTATCTATGTATCCTACAGGTTAAGAGCATGAATCCCAGAGTCTGATGGCAAGGGCCCACTACCTACAAACTATGGTACCTTGTTCAACTTACTTATAGTCTCAGTGCCTAAGTTTTCTCATCTGTAAAATGGGGGTGATTATAATAGAACATCTGCATTGAGTTGGTATAAGGATTGAATAAGATTATACAAGAAACGTGCTTATGACATTGTCTGGCACTGGTAACAAGTCCTAATTATTAAAAAGTATAATTATTATTACCTGCTATTTGCCAGGTACCCTGATAGGCCCTATAGATGCAAAGGTAGTAAGATAAGACTTTGTTCTTAAGAAACCTCATGGTAGTCCTTTAGAAGGACAAACAACCTATGACCCCAGAGGGTAGCAAGTACAAGGAGAGGTAGTAACTGATGAAGGATACCGAGGTCGGGGGCCCCAAGATCCCCCCCAGATTTGAGGATTTACTGGGAAGGTCACGGAAGTCAGCGAATAGTCGTACCCACAGCCAAGATTTATCATAGCCAATGGATATAAAGCAAAATCAACAAACGGAAGAGGCACATAGGACAATGTCCAGTGAAAACCAGGCAGAAGCACCTGATGTTGTTGTTAGCTGCTGCTGAGTTGGTTCCAATTCATAGTGACTCCTGCACAACAGAACGAAACACTGCTCGGTCCTGAGTCATCCTCACAATTGTTGTTATGCTTAAGCCCTTTGTTGCAGCCACTGTGTCATTCCATCTCGTTGAGGGTCTTTCTCTTTTTCGATGACCCTTTACTTTACCACCTTCTCCACGGACTGGTCCCTCTTGATAACGTGTCCAAAGTACGAGAGATAAAGTCTCCTCATCCTCACTTCTAAGGAGCATTCTGGCTGTACTTTTTCCAAGACAGATTTGTTCGTTCTTCTGGCAGTCCATTGTATACACCCAATATTCTTTGCCAGCACCATAATTCAAATGCAACAATTCTTTGTTCCTCCTTATTCATCGTCCAGCTTTCGCATGAGTATGTTGTTGTTAGGTGCCTTCAAGTAGGTTCCAACTCATAGTGACCCTGCGTACAACAGAACAAAACATTGCTCAGTCCTGCGTCATCCTGACAATCATTGTTATTCTTGAGTCCATCATTGCAGCCACTGTGTCAATTCATCTTGTTGAGGGTCTTCCTCTTTTTCACTGACCCTTTACTTTATCAAGCAAGATGTCCTTCTCCGGGACTGGTCTCGCCTGATAACATGTCCAAAGTATGTGAGATGAAGTCTCACCATCCTCACTTCCAAGGAGCATTCTGGCTGTACTTCTTCCAAGACACATTTGTTTGTTCTTTTGGCAGTCCATGGTATATTCAATATTCTTTGCCAACACCACAATTCAGAAGTGTCCATTCCTCTTCCGTCTTCCTTATTAATTGTCCAGCTTTCACGGGCATATGAAGTGATTGAAAACACCATGGCTTCAGTCAGGTGCACCTTAGTACTCAGAAGTGACATTTTTAACACTTTAAAAAGGTCTTTTACAGCAGATTTGCCCAATGCAATATGCTGTTTGATTTCCTGACTGCTGCTTCCATGGGCGTTGATTATGTAGTTTGATCAATTTCAGACTGGAGAAGTTGGTAAAAATATTCAATTTCTTCATTGTTGGCTTTACTGGTTGGTGTGTAAATTTGAATAATAGTCTTGTTTTTTAATTGTGCTTTAGGTGAAAGTTTACAGCTCAAGTTAGTTTCTCATACAAAAATTTAGACACCACCATTATGTGACCCTAGTTGCTATCCCTATAATGTGACCGCACACTCCTCCTTTGTACCCCTGATTTCCCGTGACCATTCAACTAGCTCCTATCCCTTTCTGCCTTCTTATCTCGCCTCCGGACAGGAGCTGCTCAATTAGTCTCATGTATCTACTTGAAATAAGAAGCACACTCTTCACAAGTATCATTTTATGTCTTATAGTCCAGTCTAATCTTTGTCTGAAGAGTTGGCTTTGGGAATGGTTTTAGTTCTGGGTTAACAGAGAGTCCGGGGGCCATGTCTTCTGGGGTTCCTCCATTCTCAGTTAGACCATTAAGTCTGGTCTTTTTACTAGAATTTGAGTTCTGCACCCCACTTTTCTCCTGCTCCGTCAGGGACTCTCTGTTGTGTTCCCTGTCAGGGGGGTCATTGGTGGTAGCTGGGTACCATCTAGTTCTTCTGGTCTCAGGCTGATGGAGTCTCTGTTTTATGTGGCCCCTTTTGTCTCTTGGGCTAATATTTTCCTTACGTCTTTGGTGTTCTTCATTCTCCTTTACTCCAAATAGGTTGGGACCAACTGATGCATCTTAGATGGCTGCTCGCTGGCTTTTAAGACCCCAGCCGCCACTCATCAAAGTGCAGAACATTTTCTTAATAAACTTTGTTATGCCAATTGACCTAGATGTCCCCTGAAACCACTGTTCGCAGACCCCTGCCCCTGCTACACTGTCCCTTGAAGTTTCTGGTTGTGTTCAGGAAATTTCTTAGCTTTTGATTTAGTCCAGTTGTGCTGACTTCCCCTGTGAATAACAGTCATATTAACTTGTCTTCCTTGTAGGCATATGGATGTTATCCTATCACTGACAGCATTGTACTTCAGGATAGATCTTGAAATGTTCTTTTTGACAATGAATGCAACACTATTCCTTTTCAATTTGTCATTTCAGGCATAGTAGACCATATGACTGTCCGATTCAAAACGGCCAATACCAGTCCATTTCAGCTCACTAATGCCTAGGATATCGATGTTTATGTGTTCCATTTCATTTTTGATGACTTTCAATTTTCCTAGATTTATACTTCATACATTCCATGTTTCTATTATTAATGGATGTTTGCAGCTGTTTCATCTCATTTTGAGTCATGCCACATCAGCAAATGAAGGTCCCAAAAGCTTTACTCCACTCATGTCATGAATGTCAACTCTGCTTTGAGGAGGCAGCTCTTCCCTGGTTGTATTTTGAGTGTCTTACAACCTGAGGGGCTCATTTTCTGGCACTATATCAGACAATGTTTTGCTGCTATTCATAAGGTTTTCACTAACCAATTTTTTCACAAGTAGTCCACCAGGTCTTTCTTCCTACTCCATCTTAGTCTGGAATCTCCGCTGAAACCTGTCCACCAAGGGTGACCCTGCTGTTGTTTGAAATACCAGTGGGAAAGCTTTCAGTATCATAGCAACACACAAGCCTCCATAGTACGACAAACTGACAGATGTCTGGTGGGCATGCATATAAGGCAACTGAAAATACCATAGCTTAGATCAGGCGCCCCTTAATCCTTAAAGTGACATCTTTGCTTTGTAACACTTCAAAGGGGTCTTTTGTAGCAGATTTGCCCAATGCAATATGTTGTTTGATTTCTTGACTGCTGCTTCCATGGGTGTTGATTATGGACCCAAGTAAAATGAAATCCTTGACAACTTCAATCTTTTCTCCATTTATCATGATGTTGCTTACAGGTCCAGTTGTGAGGATTTTTCTAAATTTTTTCCATACAAAAATTTATACATACATTGTTATGTGACTCTAAGTGCTCTCCCCATACTGTAACGGCACACTCCTTCTTTCCACCCGATTCCCCATGTCCATTCAACCAGCTCCTAACCCTCTCTGCGTTCCCATCTCACCTCCGGACAGAAGCTGCCCATTTAGTCTCTTGT